TGAAATGGCCAGGAAAAAAATATGTAAATGATCAGTATAAATATTGAATGGTCGGTACTAAAATGATCAGTTTATTATATATAATTAGCATTAAAAAAAATACAAATTAGTGGAAGAAAAGAAAGAACGAAGAAAAAGAAAGTGAATCACACTAATACATTCCAATTTCTATACTTAACCTTTAATATAATCGACTGTTAATAAATTTTGTTTACTGATTTTTAAATTTATTAACAAACCTAATCAATTAATAACTGACCATTTAAGTAGCTTTCTGATTACTCATTTATTGTACTAATCAATTATTTAATTACTGATTTTATAATTATTTCACTTACTGATCATTTCATCTCTTTTACTGACCACTCAAATGATAGCCAATGAGAGGACTTTATACTTTCACTATCTTCTCTAATATTGAAGCTAAGTTCGCAAGAGCTGGGTCTTAGAGGTTTCCGAGCGTGCTGAATGTAATGGCATTATCAGTTTTCTCGGTCTTCATACTTCATAATGAGATTCCAGAAAATCGATTTTTCAACGATGAGGTTTTACGGGGCATTTTTTTCTCAGAACAGTCTTAGACATTGAAGTCAAACAACCATGTAGGTCTTGTAGAGCGTGCTTTTTTTTATCTAGAAATTATTGTGGAAAAATTTTGTGTTATCTCAGGCCGCTCCTGCAAACAACTTTTTACAGAAAACTCGAGGTTTCTGGAAAACCTTTCACAGAGACCAAGCGCTCTACGACAAAACTTTGGCTTTTTCTGCACTCGTATCTAAAAAGCACGGCTTACAAACGTATAAGGTCACCAATATATGCCGCCTAATTTTAGGGTTTTCCAGAGGTATTCTAGAAAACCTTTACCGACTTTTTATTTTACAGACTACCTACAGACTACAGAATACCTTTCTGAAGTATGAAGACCGAGAAAACTGATAATGCCATTACATTCAGCATGCTCGGAAACCTCTAAGACCCAGCTCTTGCGAATCTACTGCTTCTCAATGTAACGCTGTAAGCAAATCTTTCAACTAAAAAATTCTCTCATTAGTTTCACAATAGAAATTAGTTTAAATTTATTTTGCTAACGGTAATGTAAACTATTTTAAACACTCGGATTAATTCAAATCAAAAAAGCTACGTCTCGTAGCAATACTTGTTTTGAGAAAAATTTTCGAAAACCTATCGTAGAGCGAGTTTTACGAAAATTAGGCTTTTCAGGGGGTTTTCACCTAATATTAAAAAATTAGGAAAAAATTCACTGTTCGCTCAAAAAACTTCGGAACTACTTCAGAACTTCAGAATGTAGACTATTTAAGCTATTCTATATCCTATGTATAGGGGGTCTCAAAATAAAATTTTCAGCACCCTGCCCAAGCATGAAATGTCATAAGAAATAAGCTAGCTGCACTTGCTGAAGAAGCGCCCGCTTCTCCATTGACTGCAGCTAGCTAAAAGAGTAAAATTTAGCGGGTGCAGCTAGCTGCAGCGGGACAAACCCGCTAACCCGCTTCAATAATAGCTGCAGCGGGTAAGAAATATTACCACTATAAAACAGTGTACAACTAGCTGCAGCTAGACATTTATTGGACGTTACAGCTAGTCAAACTTTTATGTATAATGTGTTCAGTACCAGTTGCCCAACTAGGTGCAGCGCTCAATGTAGCGGCCGCTGCAACGAGTCAAACTAGTTTCTGTAACGTAATCATTAGCCGCTGTTTAGAGACAAAAAACCACTCCACTGGTAGTACGCTGCAAAAATCAAAGAATAATAGACGAAATTTTCTTTTGTCTATGTAAACCTTTGGTCGAAAACTCAAAACATCAAAAGTGGAAACGCAGAATGTATAAGAATGGCGAAAACTTGAAATGTAGAAAATGCAGAATGTCGAACAGTAAAAGATTGGATCAGCTACAACAACTGGGGGAAATGAGCGGCTAAACCGTCATTGAATATATTTTTATGAAAAGACAAATACCTGCGTGTATAACTTCTCTTCCTAGTGCATTGTAAATTCAACTTTTGAATTTAGAAAGCGTCACTACAATGGCCCAAAAGTATAACCCGTAGTTTTGTTACAATAAGAGATATTCTTCTGCATTCCTGATCTTTTCTGTTGTTGAATTAGTTCCATTTAAGATTCTTTTGAGTCGCTTGCCAAGAATAATTTGATATCTGAATAGGCTAAACACAGGTTGACGAGCCCGCAATACCTGCCTATGTACTTTTATAATTGATGAATAGAATATCTAGAATTTTATTAAAAAACTGAGAAAGCGGAAATTGAAACTATGTGCACTAACGTAGAATTCTATATAATTCTATACATTTCCTAGATTGCTGTTTTGAGAACAACTCGGACATTTCAAGTTTTAGCTGTTCAATAGTTGTCGTAGAATTCATGGCGAAAATATAGAATTCTATAGAATTTTGTAGAATGTCTGAAATGTAGGAATTGTGCCATTGCTGGGCCCTTGCCACTATGACATTCGGAATCTGCCTCATCGATTACCTATAATCACACTTTTCTCAAAACAACCCTTGGAAACTCGGGATCTTCCTTCGTAAGTACTTTGACAGGACAGAATAGACCTATTGTTTTCTCATGTTGTTTTCAGACCAGCAATAACATATCTTCTATGATAACAATACTTTGTACGTCCGCATATTGATACATGTGATGTACGCGTGATATCCTAAACGACGGCACAATTTCATTTTACTCATTGTACTTTTCTCATGAACTTTCGAAAAGAATATCCAAAACGTTCAAAATGAAAATGGATAAAATCCTTGAAATGTCAGTCACAAAAATGATGTATGTTACTCCACAATAAATTTAATAAAATTTTAAAATAAATATTAAATTTAAAAAGAAAACGAGAAGGATACAATTAGTTCAAAACTACATATCTGCATTTTCAAAAGAATAAATGAGCAAACATCATTGTTGTATTTTTTTATACGAGAAAAAAAATGAACATCCTCGTTTGTTTTATCTATCAGATCCATTTAACGAGTATAAAAAAACTGACGTGCAGAAGTTAACAAAAACGACATTTCTTAAAACTTTTTCATTTAAAAATCAAGTGACGAGTGTTTTGTACCTATTATTTTCTATATCTTTTTTATACACTATATCCAACAGTTGATCGGTTATTCTTGACAAATTTGAAGAAGGAAATATCTGTTGTTTTTCATTCCACCCACACCCACACACATGTATTGAAGGAGAGAAAGAAAAAGAGAGAAAGAATATTGAAAAGTTAAAGTTCACAATGAAAGTTCATCAGAGATCCTATAAGGCATATGACATAAAATTATTAAGTCACGATTGTCGATCACGCCAAGCCATAATAACCTTACTGAAACCAACGAATACACCTTTATTTATTTTACTAAAAAAGAATTAAGTCCCTCTTTAATAAATCTGTTGTATCAGAATTGACTAGCTGGAGGTTGGTCCCATAATGATTAGTTCCACCAAGTTTTCGCTTTTGAAAAATGTATAGCAAAACATCAGCAAAGTAAAAATGATTTGCATCTTGAAATATCGTTTTAGGTATCTGTGCGAAAACTGTCAGTCCAGTCTGATCAAGTTTCGACGGGATTGTAGTGTATATAGTATATGGTATTTTGAATATTATAGGCAAGATTTCTCATTTACCTTTTGGTATCAGTCAATAAAGAAAATTAAGTCGAAAACGGAAAGAATAGTTTATGATATACCATTGAAATAATCGGTGACCTTGATAAACTCCATCGTGTTTACTTTCTAAAACAAAAAAGTTTTGATACAGAAATTAGACATTTATGTAAACTAATTAGACTTATACTACACAAAATTTTACCTTCATCTTCTAATTCTAATCCAAGATACAGATCAAATTTTCCCGGTAAAGTTCCGATATATTTCACAACGCCCTGACTAATTTTTCCACCAGGTCTCGAAAATTTCACAACATCATTTAGGTCAATATCAGAGATTGTAGTTGGAGCATATGGTCGTTTATGAAGGTAAATGTCACTATCTGAACTAAAAATAAAATTACAAAAATATTTCGATAAATGTTGTTCATCTCAAAACCTTTCTTGTGGCATACGATCTGAATCACCACTTAGTCGACGTTGTCGATGCTCTAAAGTAACAAAATGTAAAATTAAAAGGTGAAAGTCTTTTCCATACCATTCGATCTATCTGTCGGATACTGTTCTTGTTGTTGTTGTTCCTTCATATCGATATCTCGTTTGTATGCTCTCGATGTTGAATTTTGTCGATATTCGGTTGTTGTTCTACGATCACCACGTTTATTTCCACTTGGTAATGCATAACTACAAGTTACGCCACAAACATCTTGATATAATGGTGTCAAGAAAGACAAACATGATTGAGAAATTTCAGTTTGAGATGGATAAGGAACGCTGCTATATTGACGATCGTCATATCCACCAATTTCTAAACTTATAAAAAGAGTGATCTTCATATCCTTCAATAGAAGATTCACAGATATTCAGCATGTTAGATACAATAAATGAATGTAAAAAATCCGTCGATATAGCCCTAGTGAGAAACTTACTCGAATCTTACTAAGATCTTAGTAAGATTTCGCTTATATTTAGATTATATTTATCTTAGACAAATCTTACTAAGATCGTGAGATCCGAAAACTCTAAGATCTGATAAGATTTTTTCTAAGATCTTACTAAGATTATGCTATCTAAGACTTTTTCAAGATTGGGTAAGAGTCTGTTATAATCTTAAAAGTAAGAACGATGATGTTTTCTTAATAATATTCATTCAGGATTCGCTGAGAATTTTTTAATTTTTAATCCACATTATCCAAAGCTGCAGTTGAATAGTATTGAAGAATGAAAAGAAATTGTTCATTTTTGGGTACCATAAACCTTGATCTGCATGTACATTCTCTAAAAAGTTATTGAATACTTTCGAGAGAGCAGGTACTAGCAGAGTCTCGAAGAAAAATAAGCGTAATATCACTCATTTTTCGATCACTTATATAGATGACTGAGAGCAAAATAAAGGGGTGGTGAATGAAAGTAGAGTCATCAAATCTTATTAAGATCTTAAACGGTAAAATGTTAGATTATGTTATCAAAATATTACAGGACAAGATCTTATAAGAGCTTAGTAAGTTAATTTTAAGCAGTGTCTAAGATTTTTACTAGGGATACATTCTGATTTGTTAATACTACGGCCACTGGTCTCGGAGCGCTTAAGAATTGATCTATTGACGAGGTGTTAGTACATGAACTGATTAGATCAAATTATAATTATTTTACTACAAATTAGTCCCTTTCTTAAACAAAATAAAAACAGCGACAAACTGATCTTTGCCTTTCGACGACACTTTTTCGTCATTCTTATTAGAAAAAAGAGTCAATAGATTTGTTTTCTAACAACATATGTAAACCATCATTCTTCCTTCAATTGACACACTGTTTAGGGTCAATTCGATCTATTATATATAAAAATTAAACGATTTTAAAATTCCTGAGTCTTTCAAAACATTTTTGTTATGTCCAAAGTGAAATAAAGACATTATTATTTATAAGTATGTATAAAATCGTCACACTCAAAAAAATAAACTGGTAGTCAGTGTGTGAATTTCGCTAATGAGTTAGAAAGAGCCAAAGCTATGTAGTGATTTGGTGTGTATTTAACATACTTTATTATTTTTGAGTGTATGAAAACTTAACCTCACTTAAACTTATAAAAACGATGTTGATTCTATTCACTAATCAGATTATACGAAAAGCATAAAATCAGAGATTGGTTTTATTACTTGGTTTATTCCTAAATCGTCGACTTGTCAATTTTTGTCTCCGAATAATTGATAGCTTCGATTTTTCTCACTTCCCGACAAAGAACTTTTTGCTCATCAGTCAACACAAATTTTGCAGTCAACTTATGTACAGCTTCTTTACGTAACTCGTTGATGTATCAGTTTTTCTTAAATGGTATAGTATAAAACTATTTATGATCTAGTTTCACTGATCATAAACAGAAGAAGAAGAAAAAACGTCAGAGTCAGAAATCAGAAGCGAAAAGATTCTCTCAAAGGTCATAAAAATAATCAAATGAACGTTTCCTTCCAATTTCTTATGACACACACAGAATCTCTTGAGACCTAAAAATTGAGAACCTCTATCAATTATGCTGATAGTACGCTCTCCTCCAGCTTATCTTAACCTTTACTATTACTCTTTTCATTTTCTGTAAAATCAAGCTTAATTTTCTAGAAAACAGTTCGTCTGGAAAATCAGTTTTGATTGCACAGTAGTAAAACTTCAGTTTTATAGAAATTGAAATCAAGCACATTCCTATTTTGAAACAGAAAATGAAATTTCACTACTTTCAAAGAATTAATTCAAGTTACAGGTGGAGTCTCGCCAAGGTGGAAAAACAACACTTCACTACTCTACAATACACTTTTCCCGCTACAGTGGCCTTGTAGTGACTTTGTAGTGGTCACGGGTAATGAATGGAAGCAAGTAACAGATATCTTTCTAGTTTAATGCGTTTCGAAGATTATGTTTCTACTTTACAGGTTATTGTAATAATTCGATTGCATTATCTACTAAGTGGAAAATCGAAACTAATTTTCTGTGAAATCAAATGATTTTACAGAAAATGAAAAGAGGAGAGTAATAGTAGGGAGAGAAAGAGAGAGAGAGAGAGGTGGGTAGTATCAGCACAATTTAAGCAGAGAATCTGCGCCATAACCTATTACGGTCAAGTAGTGTTCAATCAGTGTCCTCAAAACGTTTTCAAACTAGGGGGCTGTTTTAGAACAAACATTTTGGAAATTTTATCATAAATAACGAATAGTGTCTACTATAAAATCACGCAACGGTGAGTACCTATTTGAAACATAGTCGCCCGTCTGACTTTCAATCATATTTTCAAATAGCTTATGTGCCAAAGAATATTTGGTAAAAGTTTGACGGTCTCAGATGCTTTCGTTTTTAACTCAGACGATTTGAAAATTGTAATATTTCCTCTTTTGAGGAATGATTTCAAGGGGGGAAAAGCGGACTCCAGGAGTCCAAGTGCAAAGTGTTCTTTTTGGAGAATCACTTCCCAAAAAAGAACAAAAGTGTTCATTTTTGGGAAGTGATTCCCAAAAAAGAACACTTTGCACTTGGACTCCTGGACTTCAGGAGTCCATGGGAGTCCAGGAGTCCGCTTTTTCCCCCTTGAATGATTTTCTTCATGGAAACCGGGCCATTCTGCAGTTCGCATGTATACTCTTGGAGTACGGCAGGTGTACTATCATAGTTCATTCTGCGATTTGTGTGTGTGTCTAACATGCGTTCGGGGACTCGCTTGGAAGGACCGAGTTCTAGAGGGTTGTTTCAATCAGTGGATTTCTGCTGTAGTATATTAAGAATTCATAAGAATCAGTTCAATGTACCAGTGTTCACAAAGAATGCAATCATGGTACGAGATTAGGTTGATTCTACCATTAATATGATTTCTGTGAGAAACCGCCTGGGGGCCGCCCATAGGCTCCCTTTTGATAGATTTTCAGATGATAATAATAATAATTTCTAATACTATGCCGAAGCACTATAAATTGGTTAAGAAGGAATTTTGTCTGAAAATGACACTTTCCACAGTTTTGAAATCGTCTGGATTGTACGCGCGCTTTTGCTATCTACTTATCAGTGTATAGTTTTGCCACTATCGAACTTACACGCTTTCTGGATGAAATATTATTTCGAGACCCTTAACGTTGGCATCTATAGAGAAATGAACCTGTTGTTGGAAATATCTTTATTGTGTAATCCAAAAAAAGTTCTAAGGCTAATATATCTTCCATAATCCTTTCAGAAAAAAGAGGCCATGTCAAAATATTTTTGACATTTATCTTGGGAAAAGTGGGTAAGACCTGACTCAGCTGCAGGAAAATAGGCCATGTACATCACTGCAGACTCTATTAAATTGTCTGTTGTCAAAGCTGAACTGGATGTAGTCGCGACTTACCATCTTTCACCTTTGCTTGGTCGTGGAAATCTTCGCTTACTCTGATCTTTTGAATCCAAGGAGATTGCTGTTTATCCTCTTCGACTCGAAAGTTTGATGGTTTGATAAGTTCATCTTTTAGTTCTTTTAAGCCAGCCATCCACTTGCTAAGATCTCGTTCAACATAATCTTCATCGTCCCGACCTTTACGAATACTATTCGATATTTTGCGAAATCTGTCGATAAGCTGGTCCTTGTTTTTATCTAGCAATTTGACAACGTCGATCCGACATCGCTCGGCCAGCTGATTAATTTTATCAGTAGAGTCTTTCTCCAATTCATCAATCTGTTTTAACAAACGATGAGAGTCATTCTTATTTGGCGTTTCGAACTGCTGCTTGACCATATCGTGTTCGTAAACAACATGGTCGAGTTCTTTTGACAAATCTTGACGATGATCATTGAAACACCGTCTGCACAACTCGGCTAAACAGCCATGGCATGTGGTTATACTAGCGTTTTTCGTACATTTTATACATTGAACTCTTGATGCTGTTGACATTTAAAACCGCAATAAAATAGTTGTTCTTCTATTGACAAAAAGCTCACTCTGTTTCAGTCTCGTATCAATGTTAACAATAAAATATCTCAACTTAATGGGAGGCAACAATACAAAACCATAAGCTCGTGTTAGTGATCAGTCTAACATATAATAAAAATTTCTGCGTCACACACTCATCAGTTTAGATTGAACCTGTTCTCCGTACAAGTTTTTATATTCGACACTTGTTTAAAAAAGGTAGCTATTTTGATAAAAACAAACAACTTCTTTTTCCTGCTGTCGCGAAGGCGGTTACCTTTTTTCAAATAGTAGCAGAAGAACAGCCACACATTGTACATGTTTCATTTGAAAATAAGTAAAGAAAATACGTAATGACTCTTTTCTTTTTAATGGTATATAGAAACAGAAAGAAAAAACAAAAACATGCCGGCCTGTTAGCGCTGGTGCGTGGGGTTGAATAATTGAAAGTTTCCATTTTTTTATCAGCGGAGCTAATACTTCTGTTCGTGTCTCTCGGTTCTCACGCAGATCTCTTTGACGAACTCTCTCCTCCCGTAACTTCTAATGCATATTAGAATTATAGAACTGCTTTTCAATTTGTCGAAGAGAATAAATTTCCGAACGTACATTATCGATATCAACACATTAACATAATGTACAGCGTTGCAAAAATCCAAGTTCAAAATGTTCAAAGAATGGAATCAA